TCAACATACTGGAACTAATTTAGGAGATTGCTCTGATAGAGAGCAAAGGCATGAGGAGAATTCAAATGGTTCCAATGCAAAGAGATTGGCCGCCCCTCTTAAACTAACAAACTAAAATTCTTACCCCAGGGTTACATGTAAACCAAATGGAACCAGCCCACGAGGAGGTAGTCCATTAAGGAGGGAAAAAATCCAACCCCCCTCCTGCCTTCAGTCTGCCTTTAGCATTCTGTAAGCTTGGAGGAAGGGAACAAGGATTTCATTTTGCCTTTTAAACGTGCTGGTAAATAAGTCCAAAATGAACTATGCCAACAGAGGTATGTCCACTGTATCACAAAATCTTTCTGATTGATCTTTGCACCATGTCTGTGTGTGTTTTCAAAATTTTTGGCCTAAATTTCATCTTCAGAAGCCTTTAAGAMAAATACTGAGTATGTTCATCCAGTGTCAAATTTGTCCTGCGGAGTTCCAGYGGAGAAGACTCCTGTGTAGCTAAGAGGAAGTATTTAGCAACAGAGTTGAAAAGAAGAGCGCTGATTGAAGAGAGGTCTCTACACTACCACTGCTATTTGGAATATGTAAAGCTGTAGATAGAAACTGAGCTMATCATTTCATGGCCTCTAAATATAGATAAGGAGAGAGATTATATCCAAAAATTATTACTGTAGTAGAACAGACTGTGAAAGAGACTGATTGTTGATGTTACAAAATGTACTTTGTCTCCGATATGTCTTTGGTAGCAAGAAGTTTCTTTCCAGTTTCACATTTGTATTCTTCAATGAGCTCTGAAGCCAAACAGATTTGGTTTCAATTATGTGTTTCTTTAAATAAACAAATTACGTTACATTGAAGAGGAGAAATTAAAGAAAAGCTGTAAGGAATCTTTACTTGACCACTGGAACTGAGGCACCCTTTGCTGACTGTGCAGAGTTGTGCTCTTMGCTTCTGATACAGCTCTTTGAGATGGACAGAAATTTGAAGCAAGTTCATAGCCCATAAAAAAATACTTCTTCTGTGCAATGCCTAGAGCCATGTCTTAGTTCATTAACACCAAACTGTTGCCCATGTCCTGGAGATACAGTCACCTTATTCTCACACTCTGTGGTAAGTCTTGTTGCTCCTTTTTCCCCAGGTTCTGATGTGCTTTCACGGTGCTGTCCCTTCTTCCTCCTCAGTGGTCAGATGGAAGTGTAGGAGTCTCAGATGCCAACCAGTCTTTCATTCCATGTTGCAACCACATTACACCACTTGACCACTACAGCTCAGGTGGCTCATCAGCCCTTCCACCACATCAAGGTCCTGCTGTGGCGCTCTCAGCTTCATGCAGCTTGCAGAGCGGCGCAGATTGTGTGACACACAGCTTGGAGCAAGCATTGCTTCTGTTGCCTTCCCCTCTAATATGTGGAGCTCGTTTCATATCTAGGCAACCCCCATCCCTTGATTTTTGCTTGACAGACTGGCTGGGTACTGATGCTGACAATTCTCSATTTATTTTATTTGGTCAGCTCTGTTTGCAGAGATATCGATGSTTTGAAAGAAGCAAGAGCAGCCCCACCTTTCTTATACATGCCGTCCCTTGACCTTAATCTGGGGTTGAGGTTTGTTGAAGGCAGACTTTGATGATGTCCCACAACTAGCAAGCTGTGGAGCATTCCTGGGGYGGAATTCCTGCTCTGTAATGGGTGGCTGCAGTCAAGGCTCAGGCTCSCTTCTAGATGGGAGCAAGTTGTGGAATAAATATGCACTAGGATGGCAGATAATAAATCATATGCAATGAAAACAAAGAGTGAACCAAGCGGTCCCAGAAGCTATATAGAGGCAATCTGTCCATCATCAGCCAGCAGGCTACAAGCCAGGTGTTAACAGGGCAGTATATTTATTATCTCATTATTATTTGCAGTGAGTAAAGATYCAGCCTTTAATTGATGCCCTCCTCTCTTTCCCCAACCACTGGCCACAATGTTTCTTGGAGCGTATGTTTATAAAACTATGTACTGTGCTCAAAAGGAAAATTGGGAAGTGTCTGTGTGAAACCTGCCTGGCATCCTAGCTGCTGCTATGAGTACTTGGCTGATGTTCTGAGAATTGCCAAGATAGCATTTTGTCACTGCCTGGCTGTTTGGACCATGGAATTCCCYTTTAAGTGCGTGTGTCCTCCCTGTTGCCTTTCCACTCCTTACTCCTTCAGTGGCAGTTCCCATTTAAGACATTTTTGTCTTCTGTTCAGTTCCCTTTCAGGAGAAAAGTAGTCACACACCCTCTCGTGAGATTCAGCTGACTGCATGGGTGTGCTCTAAGCTGAAATGATGTAGCTGTAAAAAAACCCMAAAAAGTCATTCCATCTCTCTGCATGGAAAGGTTCTCTCTGTGCCTTTTTTCCTTTAGTGAAGAGTTAGTGTTTGTTCACTTTTGTGATTCTTCAGCTATGATCATGCTGAGGCTACCTGTGTATCTATCCCAGGGTAGTGTCCTTGTGTTAATGCTCCCTCAGGAAGAAAGAGGATGTTTAGGTGATGAGGTGCTTGAATTCTCATTGTTCCTATTGCATTTTTGCTGTCTATTAAATCAAAATTCAGAACAGTGATGGATCATTTCCTAAACTCAATCTTTAAGGTATTATCTCAGTTTCCTAGAGGGCCATAAAAGAACATTTGAAATGGGAAATAGCTTGAAAGGAATGTTCCTCCAACCAAGTACTCTCTGTTTCATTTCTATATAAATGTAGGAAAATATTTCTGGATCAAGACTGTTACTGATTTGGCACATTTTAGTCCAGAGACATTTGACATCAGAATTTAATAGTCTGGAGTGCTAAGAACGGCTTGAGAAAGCTCACCCAACTGAGCAATGAAGACAAATCTTCAAGGAAGGCTTGAAGACACTGGAAGAATGCCCTGTTGTAGAAGAATGTCATTGCAACAAGCAACAGTAAACACTTTCTAGGGCACTAGCAGTCAGGATATGGTGGTGTAAAGGACCAGAATCCTCTTTCCATGACCTGTGCCCCYCTGACAAGGCAAATGTTCTCCTGAGAGCAGGATAGTCCTTACCTGGTGTCCCTGGGAGTATACACTTCTGTGAGATACCATTGAGGTCAATGTGGCTACTTCACTTACCGTGAATRGTAACTCATGCAATTAGATGATTTTTTAAAATTAAATCTCTTGGATAAAATAATTTTTAGTGATTGACAGATAGCAACGAACCTATTCCTTTTTCCCTTCCTAAGCAGCTTGGTAGTTAGCAACCCTCTCAAAGCTTGGACATGCCTTATGTGCACTGCTGCTGCATTGGGAACACATCACAGCACTTCTGTGCATGACACGGGGTATGTTCAGTTTTTCCCAGGGAATATCAATCTGTCATTCTTGGAGAGGATACTGTAAATATAATCCATCCAGAGACAGCTCTTTCAGTTTCCGAAGCTTATTGTTACTGAGGATGCACATAGGATGTAATCACTGGCTGGAGTCTATGCTTCAGGGTATGGTAAGGCCAGCAGACGAGCAAGCAGCCAATTTTATCTGGCTCTTCACTCTCCTTTTTATCAGAGCTGTTTGGCTGGGGTTCAGGGGTGTTAGAGGGAACTGCTGAGGCTTTGGTTTCTAGAATGGAGCACCAAGGTGTGAGAGGACATGAGACAAAGCCCGAGAGCAGCAAATATCTGTGTGTTGAGAGGGGCAGCTTTGCATTTCACTGCAAAAGCTGAAGGTTCGCTATTTATATATTTTTTAAACAATAATGACCACTGGCTGAGCTTAGCTAAAGAGAWAGTGGAAGACATCGCGCTGGCAGGGCTTGTTGAAACGAGCATCCGTTTGTAATAACCTCTGTAATTTGCAGAAGCTTCATTGCCAGTGCGACCTGGCTTCATCAGGCTGCTGCCACAGAATAAGTGAGAAGGACAACCACCGTGTTTTAATGTGAACAGTGGTTATTTATGGCAGGTGCAGGACGTTTCCAGTGAGGTGCAGAGAATTTTCAGTGTCACAAAGGAAAAAGATGTCTTGCAGACAGTGCATTTTGGCAGTTTGAGGCTACTCRTGGCCCAGCTTAAGTGTTTAGCTATCTGCAAATCCCAGTAGAGTCCCTGACAGCCTGTGGCACAAAGTACCCGGTGCCCCAAAGGAACAGTCAAGCCGTGACGTGTATGAAATGAGTGTTCCCTGTGCTCTTTACGTGGGAGCTGCGCGTTGCTCTTGGCTTTGCACAAGTGGCAAAGGCCGTATCTACAGCATGCAAGGAAACATGAGGCAGCAGCACCCAATCTGGTAACTACCCTACACTGTGGGGAGATAACTGAGCTAAAGGACTGGTTAGGTGCACATGATAGGGTGCAGAGCCGTGCTGACAAGAGACTGGATGCCAGGCTTTGGATCCAGGCTTTGGATGGAGCCCTGGCTCATGCAGGTGCCCATCGTGCTCTCACAGAGCTGTGCCCAAGGAGGACTCGAGCGTCTCAGGGGTCCCGTTGTTTTTTGAGGGAAAGTGAAACCAAACCAGCAGGCATTCTGGACCAGGCAAATGGCTATTCTGACCAGCCCTTGAAGACAGAGGTTGTTTTTCTTTATTAACCCTTCTCAGATGATGCAATAGCTTTTGATGTCTGTAACCCCAAAAGGACTACTGGTAATAGACAGTTGGAGACAGGGTGTGAATGCAGATGTCCCTGGCACAAGAGCCCATCTCACTCCATTATGATCAAGCTGACTTTTCCAACCTATGACTCCATGTTGTAGCAGTAAGGTCCTTCTTTCACCTAACCCTGTGACAATAAAGTAGTCACAACTTCCTTCTCTTATCTTGCAACCTTCTGAAGTTCTTCTGGAAAAGACTAACATTGGAGCTTACTTTTTTTCCAACTTGGTAGTGCATCTCTGTGGACTGCAGTAATGACATAGGTTGTTTAAGTCATTCAAATTCTTCTCCCTCTAAAGTATCAGTTTTTAGATGTACTGGATCAACTGTTCGCTTTTTTATTTTCTTTTTAACCTGGGCAGTGTTTGAAAATAAAGATAAGATTGTGATCATCATGGAGTACGCAAGTAAAGGGGAGTTGTACGATTACATCAGCGAGAGGCGGCGGTTGAGTGAGAGAGAGACAAGGCACTTCTTCCGACAGATAGTCTCTGCTGTACATTACTGCCACAAGGTGAGCAAAGAATTCAATATTAAAAAAAAAAGGCTGTTTGAAGTCGGTCTAGTATCTTATATATTTGAAAGCATGACTGAGGCCACATCATTCACTATTAAGTGTGACAGCATGTGATTATATCAGTACAACAGGAGCTCTTGAGGCAAACTGCTGACAGCAGTTCATTTCTTGCTTTTAAAGACTAGTATTTTGCTGTGCTGTGGCATATACCAGCAACTCCCTTATACCAGCCCTACATCCCATTTTTGCTTTGGAGGTTATTCTCTTGACAAAATGATTGACATCATTAACAAAAAAAGACACCCCAAAGTAATTCTAGAACGTTAATGCTTTTAATACATTCAAATAAATGATGACTTTCAATTTGGCTATGCAAGTGCGCAGCTTTAGATAAAATATATAAAAGAACCTTTTATCCTTGCTTCTGAACCAATTGCATAGAGAGAGACTTGCAGGCAGCTACAGGCAGTCAGCGGCTAACAGTTTCTTATTTCAATTCTCAAACATTTTAATCACCACTTGGATTCTGATATACAAGGGAGGTTTGCAAAGTCCTCATTGCACAGTGCTGAAAAACTGTAGTGGCCTTCTCTGCACAGTTAATTATTTTCTGAATTTCTTTAAAGAAGGCTCTGACCTAAGCTGAGCTTGTGAGTTTCCATCCCTAACATTTACAGTCTTTTAGGATTATAACTCCCCTGATCCAAGCGGCTGCACATTGGAGGAACGAGGACTTTTGTAAGGACTAACGTCATTGACAGATATTGTTTTCTGGTGCCTGGGAAGAATATATTGCTTTCACACAGTGGGGGTAGGATACGAGTTGGAATTAMGTTCCGAAAAGAATCCCCCTGCTGTTTTACAGGCTTTGTGGGAGGACAGATTCCAGTCATTCTTCTCTTAACCACACACCAAGTGACTAATACATCTCCTGTCACTAGTCACYGGGCCATGAGTGTTATGACAGTGAAATCAGCCCTGAAATGTAGATGCAAAGACCACCCTGCCAGTTCACCTTTAATTTGTCCAATATTTTCTCATCTTCCTATGTTTTTTCCTCATTGCAGAATGGTGTTGTCCACAGGGACCTAAAACTGGAAAACATCCTTCTTGATGACAATTTTAACATTAAGGTAAGATTTGTTCTCTCGGCTTCTCTGAGTGGATTTGCATGTTTTGTAACACTTTTATCCAAGGTATTAGAAAAAAAAAACAGTGTTATGGCAACAGCTACTAAGCAACAGATCTGGCAAGAGACTCTGGGGTTTGAAGCTTGGGGGAAGAGCTAGGCATAAATGCTAAATGAATCTTTGTGTAATTTGGAGAAGTAGACCCTGTGCTGCCACTCAAGAGATGTGATTCCTGAAGCAATATCTGTTTATTGGTAGGAAACAACACATTTTGTGCAATCAGGTTTATTTTACAAATGGTATTGTTGCTGGCTATTGCTGAGGCTAGAAAAAAATTCTCCTGTCTGCAGGGTTCAAGTGCCTCCTACAGAACACTCTGAATGTCCTTTTGATCATGTCTGGAAAATAAGCAAATAGAGTTTCAAAATAAACCTAGTAAAGCACATGTGCTTCATTAGGAAATGGCCTTGGAACTCCAGACACAAACGTATACTTTGGATGGTGATGTCAGTGATGTCATTTCCATGTCATTTCTCCCCAGTGAAAGCATGGGAATGACCTTTATTTTCCCCTTTTTCGTCTTTTCCCTAATAGCTGTAATCAGAGATAAATAATGCAGAGACTAGTGAAGCTTCCAGGTGGCTGAACCTGTTTCCCTTTCAGCTTCGTTCCTGCCTGGGCAGCTTGATGAGAGAGTGGTTGGGCGCATGGACCCACAGACAGACAAGCACAGGGAGGGAGGGTGAAGTTTTCTGCCAGCCCCTGGGCCCCCTTGCCTAGTTACCAAAGCACAGCAATGAAGGAACTCTCGCTGTAGCCAAACCTCTAAATAACCTGGGTTTCGATTTGGTCTCTGCTGAAAGTCATAAGGCTGCACGTGCTGCTTTGGGGGTTCTACACTGGCAAGATTGTCTTCATTTTAAGCTGATGTGCAATGGAAATGGAAAGTAACATATGGTAGCTGCCGTCTGTGTAGAACTGATGACAAGCTAACTGGATCAACCAGTGGATTAGAGCCACGTAAACATGCGGTCTCCAAAAATAGGCCCTTACAGAAGACACATCCCATGCAATACTTGGGCGTTTTGCTGTTACGATGCAGGGTTAGAATGAGCCTCTCCACTTGTGTCCCAAAAGTATCGCGAGCTGCAGTAGCCTCAACTGTTTTCAGCAGTGCTGCAAGCAAAACGGCGCCTTCTAGGGCATTGTATACAAAGCAGACTTCCGCAGGCAGGATGACCTTTCTTTCCACATTACACACCAAACTATCTTCCCAGCTAATCAGAGTATTCTTGGGAGAAAAGAAGAATTTAGGGAATTTGCTAACYGTGGCGATGTAGACCTCAGAAGTGTAGGCATCATATGCAGAACCAATCACTTCCCCAAGCCTCCAGGGAGCTGCGCTTTGGCCAAAGACTCAAACCTTCTCCTGTGTCTTTTGTGTAAGAGCCTAATCCTTGTGCTGGGGAGAGTGTGRGGAAGGGGCAGGGACAGTCAGCTTCCTATTTATATCCGGACCAGTTAGGTGACAAGGGACTTCAGACTACTTATGTATTTCAGCTGGCATAGTAGCTGGCACTACTGGGGAAAGATGGCCAGGTACAAGGAAAAAATGTTTGCTCCAACRTACAAGCTCTTCACTCACCTATTGGTTGTTGCAAGAAAAAAAAAGTTTTTCCTTTTTTTTTWAAATTTTTTGTGGCCAGGGGTCTAGACTAGCGTTCATGTCCGTCCTATTAAAACCAGTATTCTCTTGGTGACCTCCAAGGGACCAAGCTTTTACATCAGGATCCTAAATATTTTAAGTATTGCTTCAGTCATTTGAAGTAAATGCAGTACTCAAGATAATACATGAAGAAATTTTGCTAGCTGCAACTTCCCACATACCCTCCCATAACTCGGACTCATCTTTCTCTTGAAGGTTTGCCTTTACTGAACTGAGTTGTTTTTCAAGCTGCCATGGAGATATTTAGCAAGTTTCCAGCCCTTTCTCAGCTACTATTTGCAGTCACTTTTCTCAGTAACTGCAAGCTTGAAGGCATTCCTATGAGTGGGCAAGAAATCCATCCTGAGCATGCATATATTCACACAGGTGGCTGCAAGCTGTCTCCCARTACTATTTCCACGAAGGATCTCATGAATCCAAAACTTGGGAAACAGTTTGTATTTCATATATGTTACTAGCAACTAAAATTGGGATTACTTCAAGAGAGGACTTTTATGTTATATTTCTTTTCTTCACCTTTCCTACCACACAACTAAGATCGGCTCTAAGTACTTGATGTTAAACATACTGACACTATCTGCTTTGATACTGAAGCTTTGAATGGGTTGTTATGGTTTCTATGTTACTTATATAGAATTTTATTTTCCACTCTTTCTTTGTTTCACTGAACAATAACCGTTGGCAAGGAAACACATATGGAGCTGTAAACTCTTTATTAGCAGTTGAGTAAATCTATCAGGTCCTGATTCTGGAAGTATTTCTATGTAGTTTATTCAGGCACAAAGAAGAGGTATGCAATATAGGGTTTGCCATGGATGGTTGGCTTCAAATAGTCAGTGGAAGATATTTTCTAGAAATGGGGTAACAGTTTTATCTGTAGTTTCCTGGACCTGTGTTTATATTTCATTCAGGAGACTACAAAGCACTTAAAAACTTCACAGATTGATTTTAAGAATGTAAATATGAAAGGAATCCCTTTGTTCATGTGTGCAACATATAATTGAATACATATTTCGGAAGAAGCTGGTGAGCTGCACATTATAACTTGCACAAGCATGCCATAATAATGTGAGAAAAAATCCTATGAAAATAGATCCATCCATATATATAATATGGCAACTCAAGAAATACACAAAGAAATTCTGGTAGCTGCAATTTTCCACATCCCCTCCAATTCTATATATACATATTTATCTATCTGTCAGCTTACATAGTACTTTCAGAACAGGAACTAAAGAGGAAATAAACTATTATCTCAACTAAAATGGTCCATGAGCCAGTTGATAAAATACAATGCTTATTTTAAATTTTAGCTAGTTAAATATAATTCATGAAACAGGTGAGCAGTGTCTGGAGACATAATCAGCTTTTTTTTTTTTTAGTTTAAACAATGAGCAAAAATCTCTGGGAACAGTTAGGTGTTGAAGCACCACAGCTAGGAAATGCCAATGGCTGTAGGTGACAAAAAAATTGGAAGTTATGAAGAGTTCTGCAGGTCCCCCAGCCACAGCAGAAGGATGATTGGGGGAAGCTGAACTGWGTTATGTAATAATGTTTTCAAGGGACTGGGTGTCTGCATGGTAGTACGTCCGGCAAACTATTATGTGATAGTTTATTTTGCTAAATGTGGCAAGCACAAATAAATAAAATGAGTTTTAAACACCGTGAGACWGAGTATGTGCACAGGTCATCTGGGTACAAGGAGTTCAGCCAGCCAGTTCATCGAAGAGGACCTTGCCCTTCTCGCCAGCTGCACACCCAGGTAGACAACAGGAACTTGTCCCTGATCACGTCTGAATGTTTCTCCTGGGAACTGGTCTATCTGTCAAAGTCAATAGTGAGGCAGGATTCTAAAACTAAACCTTCCCAGGACACTGCCACTTCCTAGAGTAGAAAAATATTATTTACTTTCTTGCCTTATTTGTAGTGACACATACTTAAATATTCAAATAACATCGTGATAAAATTAGGGGCTTTGCCACATGTGCAAGCCTTTCCTTCTTGATATTCCTGTGCCCACTCCTAACTGCACAGACCAGCTTGAAATTGCCCTGTTCTACTTGATCTCCCTCTGCTTTCTCCGTTCTATCTCCTTTCTCCATGTCTAGGTGACTTGGAGCTGCCCCCTCTGCTTGTCGTGGATTACCATGGGGGAGATACAGCTCCTGCCCCAACAGCGCAGCTGCAGAGCAATCTCCCCCGACCTGTTTGTACCATCAAGAGGATATCACCTTTCATAGAATCATAGAATAAAATCATAGAATGCTTAAGGTTGGAAGGGACCCCAGAGGTCATCTAGTCCAACCCCCCTGCTCACACAGGGTCACCTAGAGCACGTGGCACAGAGCTGCGTCCAAGCGGGTTTTGAAGACCTCCAAAGAGGGAGACTCCACAACCTCTCTGGGCAGCCTGTTCCAGTGCTTTGTCACCCTCACTGTCTAGAAATTTTTCCTTAAGTTCCTGTGGAACTGTTGATGCTTCAGTTTGTGGCTGTTTCCTCTAGTCCTGTCACTGKCCACCACTGAAAAGAGGCCGCCCCCTCCTCCTCACTGCCTCCCTTGAGGTATTTATAGACACTGATCAGGTCCCCCCTCAGCCTTCTCTTCTCCAGGCTGAACAGACCCAGCTCCCTCAGCCTTTGCTCASAGGGCAGATRTTCCAGGCCCCTGATCATCCTGGTAGCCCTGYGCTGGACTCTGTCCAGCAGCTCCACATCCCTCTTCCCTGCTAGCCCAGAACTGCACGCAGTACACAGCAGCATGTGGACAGGCGAAATAGATAGTAGGGTTAAAGCAACTGTAAAGCATCTAAAGGGCTCCTCTGAACTGGGGAGTTAGAAGGTTACACGCAGGAAGAATTTCATGCCAACTTTAGGCATCTGCCTTTGGTGATCTTAAAAGCCTGTTGGTGGTACCATCTTCTCACCATCAGCTTTAAAGAGACAGAGGATGCTATTTTTTGGTTCACTGTAGATGGGAATTTACTCAAATGGCAGCGGGGTGAGGGTACATTTCCCCCCAACTAACTTGTACCTACTGCCATTCAGCACAAGGGGGGCAGATGTGGTCCCGAYGTAACCTTGCAGCTCCTCTCTAGTACCAAAATGCTGTGCACAGTTTGCTGGAGAGAAACAGCTGCCCAACGCAGCAGCCAGGCACTCAGTGCTTCTCTCAGGCTCAATCCAATGCCGTGTCTCTGCCCCCGTGGCACAGCTTTCCCCCAGGGGATGCCACTGGCACAGTGAAGAGAAATCTCCCTGTTCGTGGTAGGGCTGTGGCRGCTCCTGGGCTGGGAATCACACCTAAAAGAGATGCCGAGCACAGCTTGAGCTGAACTACGTGATCCGTCCTGGAGTGATAGAAGGAGAGAAAAATGCAAGGATAGAAGTAACATAATCTTGCTCTCTGTGCTTTCTCTTGAGCTGGAAAGGGGACACCAATCAGACTAACCACTGAAAACCCACGAGGGTTTCATATATACACAGTAAGTGTRTGTAGCTGGGATTTACCTTCCTGGAAGTCTCACCGACTGCACATAAGTTTCATTTGCTTTGAGAGACCTAGTTATTTGTCCGTTTGGAAGTACAAAGAGACAGATTCTTAAGCAGTGTAAAATTGGCAATTTCCATGAGGGCAGGCTTCACAGAAGGTATAGTTCACACTTAMGCAGGAAAATTACATCAGATTTATCATAGCTAGCAGTATATATGAAACATACACCTCCTGAAGCGAAGGGAATAAACTCCACTTCCCAGCTCCTCCTAATTTAGGAAGTTTTTTTGACTTGATGCCTTCATTCTATTAAAGTGCCAAGAACATGAAGTAATGTTGGCTTCTATTAATCTTGTTTTGGGGGGGCATGACAGTTTTAATGGGAAAAGCTGATAAACATCAGTCTGTGAGTATGGGAGTGGACTGTAACATAAATACTCTTTTCCTGAATGGTCAAAATGAAAACATGAATGTCCAAGTCTGAGAGCTTCTTAGTATGAAGAATGGTATGTGTATCTCTATATATATTCTCGCACATCTACATGCATTTTATACATTCCATGGTGTTAAGGAAATATATTTTCTTAAGAAGCATACTGTGCAGTGTTTGCCCCTGTCTTAGCTGCATCCTGGGCTAAAATTAAATTCAATAACCGGCAAGTTTTAGCACTGAAATGATCCCATTCTTCCCCTGATTGACAGGGCACACTTTGTAAGACTTAAAACCAACTTCCTGCAAGCCAGTCTGGGTGACTTGATAAGAAAGTGGAATTTAGGGCAATTAAGTGCAATCTGAGCCATGAGAATATGTTTGCAGACTGCAATTGTACACCAGCTGTTTTCAATGACATTCCAGCCATTCAATGAAGATTTTACAAACCACATTTATTTAAGGGTTGAATTTTCTGCCCTGAGTTGATAATACCCTATTTGGGGGACTGAATAAATTCAACATATGAATGGACCATGTTGAGATGAATTAACATTAATGAGCAGGGATCGGCTGCTCTTTGTGCTGGATGAGCCCAGATTCTCAGCGGAACACCTACATATCCAGGATATCAAAATAAGACAGTGCGATACACGAAATCTCACCTTATCTTCATGACTTTAAAAAATATGTGGATTTTTAAAAAGAAAAAGTATATATCTTGACATGTTAGAGTAAAAGAAAGGAAGTCTGGATCTCCTGTCGATACCTCACTGACTTTTCTTTTAATTTTTGGTCTTGACTGTCATTTTTTGGTGTAGTTGCAGCAGTTTGGATGGTTAATAGAAACAAAGGCTTTTATGTCTCCCAAGAGTTCGCTACATCTTGGAGGTTGAAAGGTATTAGCACAGACATATGTGTTAAAAAGCTAGGAGTGAATGGTGCTGTTGGTAAATCTCTTCCCTTTCTGATCACTATGTCTTTTTCTGACTTTTCTGTTGGGATACCACTTAATTACTTTTTTTTGCTGGTTTTTAGTTTCTTTCTGGTACAGAAGACCTGAATGAGGTGAAGAAAACCCATTATAAAATTCCTGTCTCTTATAGCTACAAATTGATAATACTTCTTTTATGCATATGCTTTATATCTTTTATGAGTGTCTTTTGTCAGTAGTGAGCAGTAATAAAAATATCTTTTTGAAAACAGAAATATTTTGGTTTTAAACAAGATAAAAATTGAGATTTGCTGCYTTATGCTAGAGAAACAAAGGAAATACAAAGGTTGTGGGAGTATTTAGAGTTGCCATCCTCTGCCTTTGTTTTATAAGAACAAGAGCAGAGAATTGAAGTAAACAAACTATTTGGAATTAATCCCTCAATTCCTATATGGGCAAAATTCCCAACAGTCTCAAGGGAGTTTTACTTGTGTTGGGAAAGCCGGATTTGGGCCCATTGTTTCCAGTTAGGAACCGGACTTGTGTTTATTATCTTGTGATAGACATCTTGTTTGTATAACAACTCAAATTCCTCGGTGCGGTGTCCCTGAATCTGGAGCAGTTAGTGAGTAACTCTCTCTGTTGCTTTTTTTCTAGTGGAGTTAAATTCCAGATGATTTTAAAAGCCCCTTTCTTCTGCAATCTTGCGCTTAGTTTTCTGTGACATTCCCACCTCACTCTTCCTGTTGAATTTAAAGGTCTTGGTTGTAGGCTTGCACGCACAAGAACATCCATTGCCTTCCCTTGGTATTAATGATGATACACGATGAACAACGAACAGTGGTGAATAGGCCACATAGAATAAGATTATTTCTGCTAATTTGYGTACTTCACCCTGGACGGCTGATGTCTGGGCAGTCAATCAGCAACCTGGCTATGAACAGAAGCAAGTGTCCTTGTTCTTAATCTGGAGGATTTAATGTGGGGATAKTTCTCCTTCTCTAGAATATTGTTAGAAAGAAATGTCATAAAATCACAGAARGAAAAGGCCAGGGAGGGAACCTGAGAGGTTATCGAAGTTGAGGTTYGTGCCCTACAGCATGATCAAGTGCAACTCATTCCCGAAAAAGAATTTTCTATTATATTAATTAAACTATTGTTAATGCTACAGAGGTAATTGTAATGTCAATGTACAGATGTTAATGCTACTTGTGTAATTGTCTTTGCAGATTGCTGATTTTGGACTCTCCAACCTTTATCACAAAGACAAGTTTCTTCAGACCTTTTGTGGGAGCCCACTGTATGCTTCTCCTGAAATAGTCAATGGACGACCTTACAGAGGCCCAGAGGTAAGAAGGATGAGATTTTTGGTGGTGGTATGAGGATAGCTTGCCTTTGATGGTAATGCCTTATGCTACTGCTGTTGCACATGTGGGCTAGAGTGGTTCTTGCTCGTATTGGAAGTTCTCAAGCTGCCATTATTTGCTTTCATTTGCTTTGGTTTGTCAGATGCTTGGTTCCCGTATGCTGTAAGTAAGTGCAGCTGGCCTTGATGCTGCTATTGCAGTGTTAATAGTTTGGAAGATGGTGGGGATCAACTTTTCTAGCTCCTACATGCATTGTCTCTGTATTTCAGGTTGACAGCTGGGCCCTTGGTGTATTGCTTTACACTCTGGTTTATGGAACGATGCCCTTTGACGGCTTTGATCACAAAAATCTCATCAGGCAGATMAGCAGTGGAGAATATCGTGAGCCAACACAGACCTCAGGTATATAAAAAGAGTGAGGGGAATGTACTGAGCTGACAGGAGTTCAGAATGGAGGGTTTACCCTGCCTCTTCTAACATGTTTTGGTGTCACGTTAGAATGACAAAGAAAAAAAATCTCTAATTCCCCTACTGCCTTCATCTGCTATCAATTCCCATCTGGGTACAGCATTTACCAAAAGCCCTTTTGAAATGAAAGTTTTATAGCAGATAGATTTTATTGCCTTGGGGAAGCTTTAACGGGCTCTTTTAACTAGATCTRTGACAGTGGAAATCTGTTAGCGATTGCAAGTGGAATTGTTCAGACAAGCTGTAAACTGATACAACATACTGGTACAGATCAGTCCTCTAACTACACTGTGGTATATCACAAGCAGAGAGAAGATGAATGGTCAGAAGGAAGCTGCCTCTTATGCAAAAAGCCAGTCCAAAATCTAAATGAAATACCACTATTTTCACAGTTATTTCTATTTCTATTTCTATTTGGGGGTAACATATTTATTAGATACCTTGCAGAAAATTATGAGCAAAATCCAGCTGATGTCATTGTTTATGACTCCTTCCAGCTTTAAGCATCTCTGTATATATTATTTTATTTAATTGTTTGTTTGTCTTTCATCATCTTTTTTGTCACCTCCTTCTATTTTCTCCTTCCTGGTTGTTCTGTTTACAAAAATAATCCTTTAAAATGTACATAAGGTGATAATATGTAGATCATGTAAAATATACCAATTCCTCTTTGTTTTACTCCAAGTTTTATGATAAGCAGAGTTGATAGAAAGGTCAGTGACTTCCTCCAGTATTATGGAACTATTCACTGATTTAACAGTACAAATATTAATTGCTTTGATAACCCGGAGTACATTTCCCTGGGTGGCTCATTTTCTTCTGATAAGAAATAATATTCAAATGTATTCCCCAAAGTTGATGGCCAAAGCCTTGCTGCCTTTCACTTCTCCTTTGGTGAGAAGCATTATTTTTGTTCACTTGATTACTGGGTTCACATTTCCGTTTTAAACTGATGAAACCCAACGGTGCCTATATTCTGAATATTTTATATTCTGTTCTTTGTCCACAGATGCTCGGGGTCTTATCAGATGGATGCTGATGGTGAAYCCTGAACGCCGAGCAACCATTGAAGACATTGCCAATCACTGGTGGGTTAACTGGGGCTACAAGAGCAGTGTTTGTGACTGTGATGCTATGAGGGACTCTGAGTCCCCGCTGCTGGCAAGGTTCATTGATTGGCATCAYCGTTCCACCGGTCTCCAGCCAGAGACTGATACCAAAATTAAGTGCCTTTCTAAGCCCAAAGGTCCTGAAGTCACATTAGAGAGACAAAGATCTCTGAAAAAATCAAAAAAGGAAAATGACATTGCACAGTCCATCCAGGAAGGAGGAGCTGAAAACGCAACTAAACCCATCTCCAAGAGACCCAAAGGCATCCTGAAGAAAAGGAGCAACAGTGAACATCGATCTCACAGTGCAGGGTTCATTGAAGGGGTGGTGAACCCAGTGTTACCTTCTGCTTTTAAGTTGGAGCAAGAGTTGTGTAGAACTGGTGTAGCCATGAAAAGTGTTGTGGAGGGAGAGGTAGCAGGCAAATATGGCACTAAGCAGTCTTCATTAATGCCAAAAAAAGGAATCTTAAAGAAGACTCAGCAGAGAGAGTCCGGCTACTACTCCTCTCCGGAACGAAGTGAATCTTCTGAGCTCTTGGACAATACTGAGGAGACAGTAAACAGTGACACTTCTCCAGGGGTCACGGAGCCATCCAGAAATGGGTCTTTTAGCCATTCTTGCAGACGTAAGGGCATCTTAAAACATAACAGCAAGTATTCCACAAGCAGCCCTGAATCTGCTTTGATTAGCCCTGAAACACCAACACTGGACGCAATGGAAGAAGTGGTCCTGCCCGGGGAGGGGCTACCTCGAWGTTACAGTCGCCCTTCCAGTGTGATTAGTGATGACAGTATTTTGTCCAGTGACTCCTTTGATTTGCTGGATTTGCATGAGAACAGACCAAACAGACAGAGGATAAGGAGCTGTGTCTCTGCTGAAAATTTCCTCCAGATCCAAGACTTCGAAGGACTTCAGAACCGCCCACGGCCGCAATATCTAAAACGTTATCGCAACCGTCTGGGGGACAGCAGTTTTTCCCTTCTCACAGACATGGATGATGTGACTCAGGTCTACAAGAAAGCCCTAGAGATCTGCAACAAGCTCAACTAGCAGAGGGAAGATAGAAAGGGATTGAGGGGAGTTGCTCTGTGTACCTTTATGTTGGAGTTAGCCTGGTTACTGTTTTGCTGACAGTGGTAGGTTTTCCTTCAAAGGGCCTGACTGTACCTGCATAGCTGAACTCCTAGCAAAGTGTAAAATAAACCCAAAGTCATCTCTTACTTCTCTGGATTTGTTTCCTCAAATTGTTAGCTAGCTACCCAGAGAAAACCTGTGGTCTTTTAAATGTGATGAAAGAATGTCAGGATATAGCAAGCAGAAGCATTGACATCTAATGACTCCAAGTTAGATAAAATTCAAACCTGAAATGAGGCACAAACATTTTGAGTAGCTTTTGATTACTATTAGATCATTTCTATCAAGAGATGAGCTGAATTCTTCAAGTCAATTTTGATGTCTTTTAGAAAGAGAGCCACTATTTCCTCCTGAAGATATTCATCTGGGCACAGAAGTCACACATTGAGAATCTTGTATGTGTTATGCAGGAGACTAGGCTAGATGATCACCATGGTGAGATGGTCTTCTACCAGGAAGGCCATTCTGGGACAGATAATTTGAGGATCACCTCAGTATAGCCTTGTTTGATGAACATGGACAAGGAGTGGAGCTAGGCATTCACATTTGGTTCTTCTCACAGGCATTGCTCTTAACTGAGCAGGAGGCCCTCAAATCTTTTCCGACTAGCACTCCTACCAACCAGAAATGCAAGCACAGAAATGATAATGGGAAGGGAAGGGACATGGAACAGCTTTTAAAAGCATTTCACTTTATATATTTGACTTGTGACTTTTTCCAAATTGCCAGCCAGATGAATGCTCAGAGAAAAGTAGATCTAACTGTCTCAAGGGTTAAACTAATCTTGTAATCTAGAGTTCAGTCACTGTCAGCAAAGGGTGCCACCTTGCTATTAGTTTGTAGTATATGAAGGTGACAGCTAGTTTGCTATCAGAAAGTTAGCCAAGGAAAAGGTTGTAGCATGTAGGAAATGAATAGAGGTCAGAAAGTTGGTGGGAACGTGCCTTTTTCCAGATGAAGTTGTTTCTAGTTAGGTAGTAATGGAGCAGAAAGAATTGAATGATGAAATGATAATGGTAGATTTGATAACAAAGTTAGGGTAAAAATGCAGGCCTCTATTTACAGTGTAGCTGGTACTGCATATGTGGTAATATCAATTTGAAAAAAAAAGAGAGAAGGATATGTGTTTGTGTATGTGCATTCTGAGACATATCAATATCTAGACTGAAGGCTTCAACTCCCATAAAGGTACCACATGGGTCTACTGGATTACCTGAATGTAAGCCTGTGTCAGAGAGGCACTGTGCGTTTGACAGGCCTGGGCAAACTGGAATCTTAAGGCCCATCTCAGTCTCATGTACTGAGCACATAGCCCTTGACTTTCTTGGAGCTGCGCTGTTGTGCATGAAGGGTGGATGTCAGGCTGTGCCCAGCAGCCCTGCAGTAGGTGCAGGCACACACACCTGGAACAAAGGGGCATGGGGCAAACTCTGTTCTCATTGCAGCCTTGTAACTACAACTATTACAAGAATTTACAACAGAATTTGGCCCACTGTGTCCAAAGTCCTTGAGATCATGAGGAATGGGAATTGAGTTCTGTTGGGAATTCTTGCAGAATCAATAATAACTCATGAATGACTGAAAGCTGGGGCAGGGAGCGCTTTCTCTTCTTGTTTCCCAACTTGCAGATTTCTTATTTGGTGTGTCATGGTACCTAAGGATGCCAGTTGCTCCTGAAAATCGACTGCAGAGCCCAGTGTAAAGATGAATGGACTGTAGTGTCCTCTGTCAGCTCATCTGACTCTACGAAGAACCTTTCCTCATTACACTGGACCAAATTTGGCCCTGGAGTAAGTGGTGTCCGCGTCCATGAAGTCTATGAGAGACGTGCTCTCAGGCAGGAAGGTGAAATTTGGCTCACTGCTCATTTGCTCAGGAAGAGCAGCCTCAGCTCATTTCTCTGCTCATGTCCACCTTTCTGTGACGCTCACGTGTCCTGTCTTCTCACGGGGCCTGTATGTGCTCACTAAGCCCACCTGAAACCAATACCCTGTTTTGCAGTGTGTTCAGTTAAAACGCTTGCTGTGCTGCATTTAAAACAACTCGACACAGTTCCCATGGCAGTCCTGAAATACTGGATGTGCTTTACAGCCACGGTGCCCAACCCGCATCCCGGAGCGTAAGAGCCCGGTCGCGGGATGGTGCCCATCAGTGYGGTGGCGTTGACACAACGGAGCGCGACCTCAGCGGCCTCACACTGCTTGACACCTTCCTTGCAGATCCGGGGCTAAACCTTTAACGGATTTTAGAGGTTTCAAGATGAAGGGAACTCAACTGGCTGTTGCAGGGCACTGGGAAACACTCTTCTCTGAAGGCTCGTACCTACCTAGGCTTTTGCCCAGGCCTGCTTCCTTGTGTTCAAATGTGAATGAATGAGTGAACTGCTTGCTGCCAAACTGGAAATGTTACGTAGGGATTTACTGGCATGTTACTGGCATGTTACATGTTTACTGGCATGTTATCATTCCTAGAAGAGAAGAAAAAAAAAAAAAAACTTGACTGCACATTGTTATTATTAGTGTTGTGATTTTTATTTAATTTTTTTGTAATACAAAGTTGACTTTTTTATTTGAATTTGTCTTTTTTATTTATTGGTCTGAAAGCCATTTCAAAGGTATAATAATATATTTGGTGTAATTTAATTGGTGCAACATTATTTTACAGCTCCGGCCAAAATTGGTGTTATTTTTGTTTTGTTTTGTTTTTTTTTCCCAATCCTTGGTTGGTTTGAGCTCTTCAAGGCACACAGGGGAAAACGCTGGATAATCACCCAAAGTGTTTGTATTTTTAATCTGATACTGTTTTTTATTAAATAAAATGAAATTGATGTAACTGTGAAGACTCTCTCTCTTCCCTTTTTCGCGACACTCAGCATAAGCTGAGGCCAGACAGTAATGAACTTGTCATGCAGAAATACAGCAGCATCTCAGCAAATTGCACAGAGTTGTTTATGCAAAAGTTCTTGGCTCATTTGTGCATTTGAATATAATGTGGGTGGCCACGGAGCCTCCTGTGCTCTGAGCGATCTGGCACTGCGAAACCACCAAAGCTCTCAGCTATGTAAATGTTTCAGGGAGAAAAACAGCTGACTGGGGTTTCTCTCTGGGAAATTAAGGAGATCTGTGGGCCAGGTGTGCTGGAGGTGAGACACAGATTTGCCATCTGCTTGGTGAGGGGACACAGCACAACTTAGTCATAGCCCTAAATCTGCTGCTACAGCCCTTTCCTCTCTCTGCTGAGGGGAAGGACAATTTATGATCATTTTTAATGTCCCTGTTGGTGTAATCGAGGGGTTGTTTGGGCAAAGGACTAGGGGCCATCATGGTTTAAATCAGATGGCTTTTAGCAATCAGAATAACCGGATGATGGGAGGCAAAAAAGAGCCAGTTTTCCTATTTTGGAGTGCCTTTGATAACCAGAAGGCTTTAGATGTTTTTTTTTCTTGGAAAATGGGTGGGCATCATAAGGGAAACTGGGTGTTAGACTTGATGTTTGTGCTAGAAACCTGTTTCAGTGCAGGGAACTGTTGGCACTGTCCTAGGCCTGCTTCTGAGCAAGACACCATTGAACTTCACCCTGGATTCCGGCAGCCAGGATACCCGTGGTGTGTATTTCTTCTGCTTTCTAAATTGCTGGAGGTTTGGATTAGGATCCAAGGTTTGGAAACCATGCCAAATAGGCTTGCTTTATTTTTTTTTTCCTAATTCCATTCCCTTTTTGGGCTTTTTAAAGCAAGGAATCATAGCTGTAGGTGCTATATTTATTTATCATCAGTACTTACCCAACCTTGGGAATAAAGGGAWGAAGCAAAGGATGCAGAAAGGCAAACAGCCACTAACATGCTGCAAGGGAAGGATTAGCTGCTGCGTGCTCATAGACACAGAAAGTGTCAGGCACGTATTCAGAGCCAGCACTTGTGTTCTTGTACCTGAGGTGAGTAAGGTCGAGCTGTGTGGGTGCTGCATGGTGGAAAATGTAAATCAAATCTCTTTTGCAATAGCAATTCCGAAACTTCTTTTCCCCACATACTAGGAAAAAAAGAAAGTTGAGGGCAGACAATTCATTTTGTGTTATTTTAAAAGGAGTGATTTTTATGAAGTCCTGGATTAGCTGAATAGAGTGCACGTGTATGGGAAGCTCCGAGATGTAATCATCACGTGCATGTTTATACCTCTGCAAGGGCACGCACTTCTGGGATGTGGTGGAAAGYTGGAGTCTAATTTTCCTCTTTAGTAAAGGAAATCACAATAGAGCACGATGCCCTATTCAATGTAACCAGGCCTGGTGTTTTTTCATGCCTGTTCCATAGGGATTCCAGTGTTTCTCGGAAATCATGTACATTGTATGTCTTGGGCAAGACAGGAGCAAAGAAGCAAGGGAGGAGCCTTGAGAGCTTGGAGTACAGAGACCAAACAGGAGCATGTTTTCATTGCAGCCACAGATACCCTCAGTCCTTCGTAACTCTTCTTTACCTTGAAAAGTTGGTGAATGCAAATGCTAATTCTCAAAAACCATGTGAATCTGTGATAGTTTGCTGGAATAATGGCAGAAATTATTCTATGGTGAGCGATGCTGCCATATGGCCCTACAGCACTTAGAGGCCAACATGGGAACTCGCAGGGCAGTCTCATGTTCTCCCTGAAGCCAGCAACCCCAAAGTGCTCGTGCCAGGGGAGAGGATTCATGCCAGGACAGTGGGAGGCAGCTCTTCAGGGCTGTCGCAGCCCTGTGTACTGAGGAGTGCACAGCCACCCTGTGCTGCTGGCAAGAGGAACAAAATTCAGAGCAAACTAAAATGGTGCTTTTCTCAGGCATAGAAATTCTCATTTATATTTCACAGAATCCCAGACTGGTTGAGGTTGGAAGGGACCTCTAGAGATCATCCAGTCCAACCCCCTGCTCCAGCAGGGACACCCAGAGCACGGGGCACAGGGCGGCATCCAGGCRGGTTTGGAAGATCTCCAGAGAAGGAGACTCCACAGCCTCCCTGGGCAGCCTGTGCCAGGGCTCTGTCACCCTCACAGGGAAGAAGTTCCTCCTCACATGCGGATGGAAAGGCCTGTGTTTCAACTTACACCCATTACCCCTTGTCCTGTCATTTGATTTATATTTGTATCTCCTCACGAGTCAGTCTAGTCTCTATTAGTGACATCCTGGACAGTGATATTAAGGTGAAGGTATGGCATTTTTGGGTATTACATAATAAACATATTTACAGACACATTTGCTAGTGTGTCCATAAGCAGATATAATAATAAACTTTACAAGGCCAGAACCTGAATTATAGCTACAGGGTAAGTCATAACCTACCCAGTGAAGGGAGAAATTCAATTCCAGTGTAATTCTGGTGTGTATGAGAAGCTCATCCATTTAGTCAGGCATTTATCTTGGTGATTTACATCTCATTTTAATGAGATGTTTCTGGAGACAAAACTGCACAAAATGCATCTACTGAGCCAGTAGAAAATTCAGTGTAGGGCAGCATGAGCCCAGGCAGTCTGGTACTTATCCCAGAGTAGCTGGTTTTAAGGTTTCAACCCAAATTTCTACCACAGGAGAGAACAAGTCATATTTCCCCTGGAATAATGGTATTTAGTATTCAACTAGGGCTTTTTTTTTATTAGTATTGTCTGGTGGAACTGTCTCTTTTTCTTTGCCAAACCAAGTCATCTTTCTCATGAAAGACTGAATAATTTGGCCAGAGAAACAACTTTGTTGGATAGATCATCTGAGCATTTTGTTTCTGGCGATCTATCTCTAACCCTTCCCCCCACCCCAGATTCCCTGGAATTTCATCAGTGCAGAGAAACCTTTGATCATCTGGCCATGCAGAACTCCGTGCTTTTAAGGCCGTGATGATACATATTTGCACAGATGCTTAAGGTTTTTGGAAAAAAAGAAACGTTTTAAAAGGCAATTTTATGCAATACAGGAAGTCTCCTCCTCACGCCCRGTCTATCTGCTGGTCTTAGCATTCCCACTGCGAAGTGTGCCAAGCCCAGCTTCACAAAGGGATTAGATGGGCAAAGTCATAAAATAAGAAAAAAAAGACAACAAAAATATCTGTGGATGTTGGCCGTAGGTAGCCTTGCTGCTCAGGACGCACCTAAGTGTCTCTTCTGCAGCAAAGCAGCACTACTCCGAGTTGCCATCATGGGCCTTGAGATGCCGAGCGCCTTTGCACACGAGGCCTGGGCTTTTTCAGGGAGGGCATCCAGAATTCCAGCCTTGGCAGTCAAGGTCTGTGCTGTAATGTTGGCATCAGCCAGCTCGGATTTTTCTTTTCCTTTTTTCCCCATTCATCTTATCATATCTATTTAACACCAATAATCACTCCTGTCTCTCTTTCTCCCAGGTTAATTTCACATCACAAGCACAACCCCACTCAGTACGGTGCACTGTATTTCACTCACTAGATGTTTTGGGCACCATGTCTTTGGTCTTGACCCCGTGTTGAAAACTACTTAGATTTAGACCTAAGGCATAGTCCTGTTCTGTGTGATGGCTCCAGTTCTAATGCTTTTTAATATATAATATTTATTCCTTGAGGAGGGAAACAGCAAATGAGACCTTGAGCTAACAGCAGCTTGCTTTGTGAAAAAGACAGCACATGGAGGAGCAATTAAAAAGCTGGACTCCCAGGACAAATAGGTTAGAGCAACTGAATATAAAGCAGTAGAAATTGTGATGAGATTATACAAGTGCCCAGCAGGGATCCACTTAGAAAACTGTGCTCCTTTCATACACAGGGAAGACACTGTTGTGCCTAGCAAAGAATAAGCAAAGAGCAGCTGTAGACCTGGCTGAAAAGCAAAGCAGGAGGGAGAGTTTGTATAGTTGTTCCGCAATGATACAGTTTATTAACAGACCCCTCCAAAATTCAGCCTTGGAGATAATAGGACAAGACATACTTTAAATAGAACCAAAGAGAAAATAAATTCAAAACAGATGCTAGGAAGTATGTAAATACATGTTTGTATTTACATATAAAGCCCTAACTGCCTGCCAAGCGAGACGGCTAGAGCTAGAGTGCATGTCATCATTCTGGCTGCACTGGGACTTATCAAAAATATTCCTTTATATGTTTCTTCAGGCTCCATTGTTCTCCTCAGCTGCACGTCCCCGAGCCTGATGGTTTAACTGGAAGATTTCCTCAGATGGGGGATCTGCAGCCTGCAAAGAGGTGGTTGATCAGCGCCTGCATCACCCAGGGACACAGGGAACATTTGGCCAGCTCCGGTCCTGGGAGCCCCCGAGGTAGTTAYCCCAAGAAGGAGATCCCCAAACAGTGCAAAGTGACCCTGGCCCAACTAAGAGGAACATCTAGCCTTAAAAAGAAGATCATTTTTTACCAGTATGATATTCTGATTAGATTCAGTGGGAGTAGCTTTA